TTATAATGACGACAATTGTGATGATAACAGATTGGACTGAAAGACAAAAAGTTACTGGCTGGTTTTGTGGTGAGTTTTCTGATTGGAAACGAAGCCAGGGCGATATTTACAACGTATGCAAGATTTTGGTCGGGTTGACTAATCCTGCAATGCTACGTAAAGAAAGCATGATTTTTGGATGTACATGTTTATTGGAGACTAGTCTTTTGTGCCCGTCTAGCGGGCACAGATAAAAAATATAGGGAATGTTGGAGTTAATTATAAAAATAATTAAGAAGAGCCAGGATCCAAGTTCAATCATATAATAAATATTCAATACATATTTTTTTTGATGAAGGCTTGTAAGATTGCTAGCATTAACCTAGAACCAATAGTCTTTACTAAAAAAAAGACTAAGAAATTTAGAAATTTGGGAACATGAATTTTAGAAATTAGAAAATAAGAATGCATAAGGCAATATATACATCATACTAATGGCGAACGCTACGAATTACGTGAATGAATTACTTGGCCACGTAATCTGTATGCTTTCGTCAGTAGAGGTGCCCAAGACCCAATAACACGGCAGTATGGGAAACATAAAACTGTCATTGAGTGAAGCGGACACTTCAAAATCGTAGATTGAAAGAGTCCACGGACATTGTAGTCTTACTGATGCTAAATTGGCATTGCAAAATAGTTGAATATAGTTAAAATACTGTCCAGGTCATACTTTACGTTTCGACTCCTAGTGGTTGTGGCCAGGTCACAATTCACGTTTCGACTCCGAGATGGTGTGGCCAGGTCCCAATTCACGTGGGGACACTTAGGGGTTGTGGTACAGTGAGGGGTCATATGGCGATAATTAGGAGGAGTGGGGTCAGGCTAGTATATTTTCTTCGTCAGTAGTGTTCCATAATCCTAATAACATGGAAGTATGGATATCACGATACTGTCATTGAGTGAAGCGGACAGTTTAAATTCGCAGACAGACAGACTGCACGGGGAAATTAGTACTACTGATTGAGATATTTATAAAGTGTTTTTCCACGTGGTGGAAAAAGGGCAAATGCCATTTCAAATGTGGGAAAATGAAGGAATTTCCGTTTAAAAATAATTTTGTTACATTTGCAGACGTCGGCAGTAGAATGGACGTATTAGAGGTATAAAATTATTGATTGATTGATTTATTAATAAGCCTTATTGGGGCCTCTATGGGCCCATGAAGGCACTTGCAATGATATACATAATTGATATATAGAAGTAAAGAGGAGTTAATATAATATAATATGTGTGGATAGTGGAAGGTAATAAATTAATAATTCAAGCCTTATTTTTTACAAGAAATTGTTTTTAGAAAAGCTATGCTAGCGCCGTACATTTTGACCTAACCTGAATAAATTTTGATTTAAATTATATATGTTCATATATAGAAATGTTCATGTATAGAATTATTCATGTATAGAATTAATCATAGAATTAATCATATTTACATATTTCATTATTACATTGTGACGTCTTTTATTATGCATAATTAGTCATGCCCTTGTTGGGTAAAAACGCATTTAGATTACGTATGTATTAACGTATATTTTTCCCTCATCCAGGATATCAAGTGACCAATGTCACAATCTACGCAAGTTATCCACGTAGGTTATAAGGAAATCCAATAGTGGATTTTTCTGTCCTCCAAACTAATTTCGCTTCCCTTTCCTTGTAAATCCTGTATAAATGCACGCTTGAATAGAAATAAAAGTAGTAAGAAAATCAACTCTGATTACTCCTCATTATTACTGTTGACACACACATCAACAATATATGTAAATGTTGGTAGTTGGTCTCGATCCTGATCAAGGTTCCGTAGGATGTGGGTTGACCCGTAGGAAGTGGTGGGGATTCCTGTAATGTCAACAAAAGGGGGTGATTAGTATTGTTAGGTATGTAATCTTTATTTTAGTGCATTTGTCTTTGGAAGGGTATTAAATTATCAATGAGACGTTGTAGGTTGACTCCGTTCGATAGACGTACATATGTAAAATTAACCGGTTAAAACGACTTGGTTGTGCATTTAACTATCCTGGAGAGAATGAGGTTTTTCCTTTGTAAGTAGAATCGGCGTTGGATTCCGTCTCCGCCGACCTTTGTGCGCGGGTATGCCGTCTACCTAAAGTTCTACTAACACTTTATTTTTCTCAAAGCTTCCAGAACATTCTAGAGCATGACGAAATTTTACCTTTACTTGAGAGGCTTCATTTGACCTATGAGAACTGCTACATATGCCGTTTTCCAGGTTAGCTAGGTTTATTTCGGAGACTGAAAGATTTTTGAGTAATCGCGAAGGGCATATTTAGCAATAGCAGACCCAATTGTCATTAGGGGAGTCGGCAACTATCCTTTAATGTGCTACCGACGGTGACTGTGCTATTCCTCCTTGATGGGTATTCTGGTCACCCAACAAAGTACATTCATGACGAAATTTTCATAAACCAAAGGATTTAACAATAAATGGGAAAAGTGATACGTGTTCATACTTACAAAAGTGTGCAACAGTGTATCTGCTGTTAAAAAACAGCTGCATAAAATTAGTTCATAAAAGTGATAAAAAGCGTTAAAAAACACCAGCCATAAATCCGGAAAAGTGCATAAAAATGCATAAAAGTGCACAAAAATATTTAATTGTTCATAAAGCATTAATGTTACATTTTGTCGACATATTTGTTTCAATACAAATATTTTGTGCTATTTCATGAACTTTCTTCGTCAATATCACCTTTCTATAAAAGTATTCATTTTTTCAACTTTGAATTGTAATTTTCACTTTGCCTTAGTGGCTTGGATAGCTCAGCATATCGCAGCGCCTAAAAAGAAACACTGATATAGAATAATACTTTGTTCTTGAGAAATAAATTAAATTAAAGAAAACAAAAAAGGCTATGATAAGTAATTAAGTGAGTAAAGTAATTATACAATTTTTATGGGAAATTTGTCATCTCAAAGTCCTGGCCGTTATTATTATTATTATTATTATTACTATTATTATTATTGCGCTTTCCCCTGCATTTAATGCATATGAGACTGCAAATAAAAACCAACAATTATAATGCTAATCCCTTCCAGTATCAGAACAATCCCAACATTTTTCTCGTCCTGGTTTCACAGTATAATATAAACTATTCTAAATCATAATTGTCTTGAAACCGGCTGCTCAACCACTACTGTGCAAATAAATAAACATCTTGAAGAATAGACGTTATGACTACATTTATGAACCGTTTTTACAACAGACTAAAATAAAAACTACTTTTTAATAGATTAAAATTGACAATTTTCTGACGATTACAAAGTTCTTGTTGAGTTGAAAGAGAGAAAGATGGGGCGAGCGTAGCTTTTGCTGAGCTCGCTGGCGCTCATCTCAACTTGCCTCAAATGCAGAACTTACATGACTCAATTTTTACTTAACAATCTATTTCAATTTTCTTAATAAAGAATGAAAAAACTAATCCTGCTTCAAATTTTCAATTTTGTGTTATTCGAGCTTGTTGACATGGTATTAAATTTCATTATTTTTGATATCGTTTCTTTATTGCAATGAATTAATATATAAAATGTAGCTCTCCACATTAAAAATTAACTATCCAAATAATTTATCAATATTTTTTCATTAAAAATTACATTTTGACATTTTAAATCCTTATTAACCTGCCGCAGCTGATAACGATTGAACCTAGATCTTGATAGAATGGGAACTTCCGCCGTAATTAGGGGAGGGATCGAAGGACCAGGTAAAATTTGATTGACTAATTCAATCTAAGGCTTTACAAAGATATCGTCATCATCTCCAGTCAAATCAATTAATTCGATCACTTTATCTCTCCTAGTGTAAATCTGTTCCCGCCATGCTCGCATATATTCAAATCTTAGAACTCTTTCAGCACGTAATGCTTCCTTGTTGTGCATTATTTCTTCGTGTAGAGATGTCTTCGATTCAGCAGTTGGATTATGCAATTTCATGTCACGTGATGTCTTCGATGGAACTAGAATTGGTAATTTTACGTCACATGACGTGTTCGGTTGAGCAGGTGAATTTAGAAATTTTACGTCACATGACGTTTTCAATTCAACAGGTGGTTTTATGTCGCGTGATGTCATCGAATGAATTGGAATTGCCAATTTTACGTCACGTGATGTTTTCGTTTGAGCAGACGTATTTGGAAATTTTACGTCACGTGACGTTTTCGATTCAACAGGTGGTTTTATGTCGCGTGACGTCTTCGATTGAATTGGAATTGTAAATTTTACGTCACGTGATATCTTCGGATGAACAGGTGGATTAAGAAATTTTACGTCACATAATGTGTATTTTACGTCACAAAATATTTTTGATTCAACAGGTGGGTTCAGCAATTTTATGTCACGCCATGCCATCGATTGAATTGGAATTGGCAATTTTATGTCACATGATGTTTTCCATTCAACTCGCAGATTAAGCAATTTTACGTCACATGACGACTTCGATTTAACTGGAATTGGGAATTTTATGTCACACGATGTTTTAGATTCAGTAGGCGGATTAAGAAATTTTATGTCACATGATATTTTCGATTGAATTGGAATTGGGAATTTTATGTCACGTGATGTCTTCGACTGAGCAGGTGAATGTGGAAATTTTATGTCACATGATATTTTAGATTCAGCAGGTTGTTTAAGACATTTTATGTCACGTATCATAATTGATGGTAGTGTCACTCCAGGAGAATTTGGAACAGGTGTCAGTCCAAGGCCAAGCATGAATAGTAATTTTGACTTATCCTCCCTCCAACCTCTATCTGATTGATTTATCAATTCCACCGTTCTCGATACTTTGATACGAGGACTTTTCTTATGTTGTTGACGTGCCGAGGCGGCAATAGCTTCTTGTAATTTTAACAGTTTTACTGCCCGCGACGGTTTCTTCCGAACACTTCTTCGCCTGCGGACTCTGGTTTTGCGTTTCCCCATTGTGAATTGGAAACGATTTTCAAAGTTGTCCTAAAGTGAAAAGTTGGACATTCAAAGCTTAGTATATAATTGCTACAGGTGTTAATGATTAAATGAACAAGCACATAAATGCATATAAGCACTTACGAACAAATGGCAGTACCACGCCGGTAATAATGATGTAGCAGGCCACGATTTTCAAATAGATCCGCTTGGAGCACTAGCTTCGTAAATAGAAAGTAAAATTTGCAAACGTTGCTTTTGACTTGTATTCATAATCTTTCATTATGAAATTTGCAATTTAAAGTATAAAATTTTACTGCGAAATTAGAAATTGCCCCACCAACAACCTCAATCAATACAGATCAATAAATTTGCAATTTCTAACTAAAAACTTAAAGCCTCATTGCAATCGTAATATCTTAAGTAGTTTTTCAAATGCAAGACTACATCCTTTTAAATTTAACTTTTATTTTAAGAATTTCATCATATTACTAAATTTATGACACAATTTACAATCACTTTTTAAAATGGTCAGCAAAACTATTTGAAAATGCTTACCTAAAAATTCTTAAAGAGAAAAAGTTATGCAACGAGTATCTTCTAACTTCACGATAAATTGTTGGTATGATTTTGGACAAAAACACAAACGTTGACAAATTGTGTGTAATTGTTTGTGCCATACTTGTTGATTGAAATGTTGGTAGGAAATATTAATGTGAGCAATAATGATGACGACAATGGTGACGATAACAGATTGGAACGAAAGAATGAAAGTTACTGCTGGTCGTGTGGTGAGTTTTATGCTTGGAAACGAAATCAACCAGAGGTGAGCACAGCATGTGAAGGATTTTGACCGGGTTGACTGTAATTCCTGCAACGTTGGGTACAAAACGCATGGTTTTTTCCAGTACACGTCCATTAGGGATATTCAGATATTTATAGAGTTTATGGTTGCCCCCTAGAGGAGAATGTACAAAGGATATTTCAAATGTTGGAAAATGAGGGACTTTCCGTTTATAAATAACTTCAAGATGTGTCATATACAGAGGTAGGTAGGAAGTAGCATGGACTTATTGTAGGCATAAAGATCGGGTATGAGTCATACCGTTGACGTATATCTAGAATATTCTAGAATTCTACTTTCTCTCTTTCTCAAAGCTTCCAGAACATTTTAAATAATGACGAAATTCTCATACATGGAAAGATTTAAAACCAGCTGTGGAAAGTGATACATATTGATTTATAAACGTTCTTATTTGTAAAAGTTTACAACGGTAGTGTTACACATATTTATTTCAAGTAAAAAACGTTAACCAACGTTTTTGTGGAATCGTTCGTGCATACGAAATCATTCCCTACTATTGCACAATATTCAAATTACAAAGTATTGCGAAACTTAATTGTGCGTCATGAATACAATTAATCCCATAATTAATTACATTGAGGTATCAACATATGTAGGTATCCAGACATCGGCAAAACATGTGTCCATTATATTTTGATGTCCATACGGACAATTACTGTGGATGGTCGTGTATCCTTGCCGATATTCGAAAATGATAAATTGAATGTACCTGACACAAGCGAACGTAACGTTGTCATAATTAGTTGATAACTCCTTATCTTAAACTTACTCAGCAGCATGTATGACGTTAGCAAAGTATGAACCTACTTTTGTCAGACCACTGTACTAAACTTATCATTATGATTTAGCCAGTCTATTTACCAGGTTGGGTTGAGTTTACCATCTGGAAAGAAATTGAAAATCACCATGTCTGTCATTACGGTTGCGTTGTAAGTAAAAATTTATTTTTACACGTTTAATTCCAGAAATTATACCCAAAATAATTTAGTAGTAACAAAAATTTGCCACCAACTGTGGCAGTTTGGAAGAAAATATCCCTCGAAATTCAAATTTGTTATCGTTTAGAATATAAACATTTACTTTAGGAGTAGAAGATTTGAATTTCGCGGAGGTTTTTGTTAGCAATTCTACAACAAATTTTATCAAGCACGGTAGAACATCACAGTAATTTTATTTGGTAAATATCATTACCAAATAATTTTGATTATTTGTATCGTTCCTCAATTACAACGAAATCAAATTCTTATTTAATTTGTTAAGAGACTAAAAAGTGCCCTACCCATAATTATGCCACGAAACATTGCACATAAAATTTGCTTCGGTTTACCCTGACTATAATCTTTTCTCGACAGATTGGCCACCTTTATATGGGGAAATTTTCTCTCAAATTTACAATCCTTCGATCTCCAAATCGGCGGATTAAATGCGTCTGAACTTGCCGATTTACGAAGTCTCGCCGCACCAGTGGAATCCAGCGTTCGAGAAGAATTCGGCGCCTGGTCGGGCACCTGGGTCGTAGAGCTGCCACAATTCGGAGGAACTGAAAGAATGCGGCTCTTATCTACCCCTCCGATAAAACATGCGGCACCGTTCCTCGCCAAAATTAAGACGTGGGGCTATCAAATCACGTTTTATCAGAGTTATCAAGAAAAACAAGAAATTTTCAGGCAGAGTTGTGTCTCCGTCGAAAGTACTCCGTCTCTCGTTCATTCCTGGATATTGGAGAAGTGAATTGATTAATTATTTTATGGTCTGCGGATTAAAACGAGATTCTAATTCAAATTTTTAGGGTAAATTAACACTAATACAAATTAGATGATCGATCCATAATAGATTTTATGATCAAAGTAAGAATTTAAATTTTATGGGTTTACGAATTTATTGATCCGGATTGATTAAGAGATCCTGGTATCGGCAGAGGTGTCTGTTTAACTGTCGGTAAAAGTTAAGAATTTGATGTCGTCTTAATCCACAGATCATACCAATATTGCAAAAATTTGTGCAAAAATATTTTTCTGCGTAATAAATCTTCCTTGATTTTCATATCCTTCATTTCATTTATTTTCATAGAGACGCCGATCTCGTCATCCTTCCACCTCCCCCATCTCCGACGACGACACTCTTCCCCCCATCCACGTCCACCCCCAGTACGACGACAACCATAATCTCGACTTCCAGTACCATCATTAACACGACAACTACGCTCTTCCCCGATTCAACTAACGGCTCGACGTCAGCGACAACGCCCCAGGATGTATCGGATAGCACAGTTGGAACTTCGACCACTGAAATAATATCGACAACACCAAAGGCTGCAGCTTCTCGGATGAGTGGCACCTTTGTCGTTATTTTTGCAATATTTGTCACCATATTAATTTTGTAAAAGTAGTGCGATTTTGTCCCAACATTTTAAAATAAGAAACATGCTACAGCATTATCTTGATTCCATGTGGTAATAAATTGCTACAAATTTATTACTAGGGTAAAACTCGCAACCATCTGTCATGCATGCATTCATTCCACCATGTTCAACAAAGATCGGAAATATTAAAATGTTTTTAGCTGAGTTGACAACTGTGGACAAAGTTGCAAAATTTTAAATATATATACTGCGTAGAATTACCGTTAAATCTCATAAGCACTTATCATCATTTGCAAATCGTTATCGTTTTGCACAAAGTATTGCGAAATATTTACTTATGCCAGACAAAACCTCCCAACACGTCACGTTACAATAATTAAATTCTTGATAACTCCTTATCTCAAATTGACTCACGTGTGTCAAATTACCTTGTGCAATGAGTCAGAATATACGTTTTTTGTTCGGTTGGTCATTCTGGTTTAGACTGCTTGACGGGTTGGGTCAACCATCTGGAAGGGATAGAAAATCCGAGGTGTGGAAGCCATGTCTGTCATTACAGTTGCACTGTAAGTGTAAATTTGATTATGACATACTTATTGTTAGCAGTGTTTCGTTTATTTTGTGTTTAATGCATTTCTTGCACTGAAAAGCAAGATATGAAAGAAACCAGAGGTACAAGAAACGAAAGAAAGCGCAAGAAATAGAACGCCATCTAGCAGAGGGCCCAATGAACTATCTAGGCGGGAAGAGTTTCTTGCATCCTTGCGTTTCTTGCGAGTGAAAAAAGTTAACAAAACCACTCTCTTTCAGGTGGTTACCTGCACCCGAAACACTTATACTTGGTTACTAACAATTAAAAATGATATTTACGGAACTTGTATTTACAAGAGGATTAATTATTACTGAAAGGTTTCTTGGCGGATTAGTAGAATTTCTGTGCGGACAGCATTTAGATTCTCGGATAAATAAAGAATTTTATTTCAAAAGCAGGTTGGGGTAATAGAAGTATCAGGAATATCAATGCCTACGTAGACCGAGCTTGATAACATTGATGGGGCAGCAAATTCATTTTGTTAGCAGGCTAAAAACTGCCCACACGACAATGTAGCAGCTTTGCATATCCGTCATGGGGTTAAAATGAGATCAAGTTTTTGATTAAGACTTGAATTAAAAAAGAAGGATCAAATTCTGGTAAAATTAAATCATGATTAAAGTGAGGATTTAAATTTTTGTGGGTAAATTTACAAATGTATTAATTAGTATTAATTAATTTGATAACTTGCAATAAAAGTGTGGAATTTGATCTCGTTTTGATTCACTAATTAATTAGAGTAGAAATAACTAAACTATAAATGTAAAAAATATTGTGAATCTATAATTTTAATTTTTGAAACTTTATGAAAAATGAGAAATTATTGCATAATTGTGAAATTAAAATTGTAATTAGAGCTCCAATCTGGTCAAGTCGTTGCAACTTTGTGAACAAAAATTGAAAGTTTTACTCGAAAAGAAGCAAGAAGCTGTCACCGAATATGCGAAAACTTGCGACAAAGCGGATTTGAACATGAAGCGGTTAATGGCAGGGGAAATGGACTTGTTATCCTTTATCCAAGCCGAACACGGCGATGAGAATGGAGATAGGGCAGAAATGTTGGAGGATTTACAAGACGATGCAAAACTTTGTGTAAGGGGGCATGCATAAATTTTATCGTAGAAAATGAGAATACATTACGAGTTCGCATGTTCGTATGACTACAAAAATGCTTTACGAACTAGCCTAGCAGATGCGCAAGTTCGCAAATGATTTATCTAGCTAATTTATGTGGAAAAATTTAAATTTAAATATTTTAAAATTCCAAATAATTAATCTGTTTTATTTGATAATTCCACACTTTTTGAAAAATTTTGCAATATTTGGCATACTCACGTCAGCAGTGTTGCTTAAATCACATCACACTATGATTTATGTAATATGTAATTAAATTGTTCAGAATGACCTGAAACCTGACATGATGGGTGCCATGGAGTTGGTAAATTCCACGACCAGGGAGATGGACAACGTCGTCCAGATGGGTGAAGTATGGGGCAAGCATGCGTTAAATGTAAATATCAAACTTGGACTTCCTGCCTTCAAACAGGTCACGGCCGGGCTGCCGGTTGATTTAGAGATTTTAGAAAAATTGGTCAAATTCCATGTCAAGATTTAAGGATTGAGAAATCTTGTGCTGGTAAGTGTGCATAGAATTTGTGGAATATAATTGTTTGTAAAATGCAAAAAAAAATTATTCAATTTACCAAATGTAAAAAAATCAAATTTGCAATTTGCAAGAAAATGCATGCAAAATGCAAAAGTAAAAAAAAAACAATTTGTCATGTGCAAAAAAATTAAATTTTCAAATCCAAAAAATTAAAATGCAAAATTCATAAAAACAGCAATTTGCAAAACCCCCCAAAAATGCAAGTTACAAAACGTAAAATTAAAAAACCTATATATTAAGTGGAAAAAATATAATTTGTAAAATGCAAAAAAAAATCAAATTTGCAAAATGCTAAAAATGCAATTCGTAAAATGCAATTTGCGAAACCACAAAAAAATTCAATTTACAAAATCCAAACCAATGCAATTTCCAAATTACTCAATTTCACAGCTGGAAAAAATTCCCGAAAAGAAGAAGATATTTGAAAACGAACTTTCCCAAGAAGAAACCCTGCTAAAAGATTTCCTCTCCTTGTCAACCACTTCCGAGCAAATTCTGAACATTGTACCAGGAACGGATGCATTTTTGAGAAAGGCGACCAAAAATATGAAAGCGGCTAATGGAATTGTAAGTTTAAATAGCAAAACTTTGCAACTTAAAATCAAGTCAATTTCCACAAAAATTTTGCAAGCTTAAATTTTTTGCGAACCTTACCAACTACAAGTGTAAAATCATTTATTCTTTTCTTTTCAGCGTGACAGCGATATTCTCGCTAAAATGGACAAATATCGCAAACTTACCGACGAGCATAAAGCCCTGAGTGACAAATATTCCATGCATATCAGCAAAGTCAAGGAAATACTGCAAAAAATTGGAGAAAACGAGGAAACCATGGAAAATGAAAGGGTTGAGCTTTGAACAAATAAATGATAATGACATCAATACGATTAAATATTTAGGCGTAATCAAATTTATAGTCTTATAATTAAATTATTGGAGTAGCGTGTTACAAAGTAATATTTTTAAACATTTAAAAATTATTAATCCTTTGTACATATTTGGTAGTTTTTACAAAATTCAGGATTTTCCCTTCGAGTTGGGCTTAGGGTTACGCCTGGCGAAAAAAAGACGCATAAATAAATCTGCAAAATTGAGACTATTGTGAAAATTTGCAGTTAATAAATCAAATAAATATTTTAAATGGTTAAAAATCTCTCACAATTTTATTATTCCAAACTCATCCCCCTACTTCTTCGATCTATTGACATCTCCACTTCCCGAATTCGGATCAACATGCGGTTTCTCATGATATTTTAAATGTTGCCTCCTCTTGAACGATATATCACACCGGGTTCACCCATACTTTCTCACAGCATCATTGTTGAATTGAAGAGCTTTACTTTTGCTTATTTAGGCATGCTATACCTATAAATAATCATTCAAGAATGTTTCCTTCATAGGAATCTAGCAAATTGAGCATTTACTTACATTTCTGGACGATGCAACTTCACCCAAAATTAATTAATACAGGTTAAGAAAATCAACTTTCTACAAGTGATTTAAATAGGTTCAAATAAAATTAAATAATGCGGATTAACTTAATTAAGCTAAATTAAATTGGCCTAGCAAAGCGAAACGTTCTACATAACAGTACAACACATCTAGCGAAAAGACTGAACGTACCGAAAATACCATTTTTAAGGAATATTAAGCCATAAACCAATTTAGTCCATCCCACAACAAACATTTTCCTAACATTACCTCTACATTCGTACACACCTTCAATTAACGAAATAATGATCATTACACAATATATGACAAATGTAGAAATAAGATTGTTAAACGAGATGAATCCATCCTTTTCTGATTTCTCTGCTTCTTCTTTCCTCATCCTTCTCTCATACACGAAGTAAGTTTCCCACTTTGTCCATAAATCGACCAAACCGGCGTCAATGATCCCTTGAAACGTTTTCTTTACCTCGTTAGCAAGTACCATGTCGATCCAATCGAACTGGACCCACGTCCGTAACACGTTTCGTACAGCGTAACATGTTCTACCATCTGAGTTATCTAAATCTTCCAAGATATCCACTCCCTCTTGAACTTTGGCGGAAATGGCGAAATTTAGATTTTTTTTGGCCAACGTTTTCAGCGGGTTTTTTGAATATGCGTCAAATACTGTATCGTTAAGTCGATGAAGTAACTTTTCCCTTTTGAAATCATCGTACAGCACAGATCTCGCTAAATTGTTGAGGTACACATCGTCCGAAGTATTTAGAGACAATGTAAACATTATTTTGAAATCGTTATCCACAAATTCCCTCAAAGTTTTGAATGGTTCATATATCGATGGAACTATTAGCTCCGATGTGATGAAAAATTCATAAAACGCTAACAATATCACCGATGCGAAGGATAGTATGAGGAAAATGAGAAAATTGAAATGCGCGGATTGTTTCATCAGTGCGGCAATCGCGTTGTAGCAGTAGTCCCAAATGAAATTTGGGTAGGTTGTATTAACATGTATTTTTCGTAACGAATATCCCTCAACACATCCTAATACACCGATTGCAACGCAAGTGACACAAAACCAAAACCATACCGAAGGACTTAACGGTATCAGTAGTGCCTTGAAAGATATTAGTTCGCTGCTTAAATCGTACTTGCAATAGACTAAATCAACGCCAGATATTCTAGGATTGATGGCCTTCGAAGGGAATCTGTGTGTCGTAGGGAGGCGTTCGATCAACAAGGTGTTGAACATAATATAGCCAAACTCGTGGATCTGGACATATTCTGCGGATGCGGGAACAAGAGTTATGTTTAAGTTTGATGTAACGGTATCCACGATGTGTGCCCGAGGACTGCAATCTTTCAGCAATACGGTTTTAATTAAACAATTCATCAAGGAGGGTTGTACATCTGTAGAAAACGTAATATCTGATAACCATCTGTATTGGAAAGTTAGCAATGTCACTTCTGCGGGGAGCATGCCGATGAAAAAGCCGCGACAAAAGGGACAAAAGTAGCACCATATGGCGGTATTTGGTCGGATTAGGAATAGATAGAAGATTCTGGTAGGGAAGAACTTATCAAACCAAGAACGTCGGGTTGGTCTTGAATAACTGATGAAGATCATGGTGTTGAATTTGTACTCGATTCGTAAGGTGTCCCTAAGATTGTTCATATATTCGGAGCGACGGTCCACGTCGATTGTGCCTAGTTGAACTATTATATTTATGGTGCATATTTCGTAGAATTTGAAATCTAGTTCGGGTGTTGCGCCAAATGAGGCGGTATCGTTATTTGCGGTATAAATGGTGAATACAGTTTGTTTTCTTTTGCTAATAAGGTATTCTGAGAAATCCACATTTCTGTACGAATCACTGAGTCTTTTTACTTTAAAAGTACAGTTTTTAAAACTGTTCAAGCCAATGTTTAAATTTCGTCGCATTTCGTACGGTATGTAAGCCAATGATTGATATTGAAACCAGAAGGTGAGTAAGAAAACGAAAGAATATATGGAAATTTTAGCCATGATTTTATTTAATGCAATGTTAGAAGTTATGGATATGAGTTGGTTTTAGACAGTTGTCATAACACATCTAGAAATAAAGGACCTACCAGGAGACTGGAATAATTACGTGGATGGAAGCTCGTGCAATAGTAATTAACAGAAAATGAGATATATCGATTTGTATAATCTAAATTGATTATTAGTTCTATATAACATTTCATGGAATAAAGGAATAAATACATATTGTATTATCGTGGAATAGTGAACCCAGTTAACGCACTGGTGCCGGATTTTATATTGACATGAACACGGTGCAAATTACACCAGCTGATTACTATAACGGTAAGAATAATTTTGTTATTCGGAAAATTAAGCTACCATCCTAAAATGCCATTAGCATATTGATCGTTTCCTCCACGATATACACCATAACTTCCGACTTGCTTGATACAGTCAACCTCGAAAAATTAATCGGCCCTAGTCCCACCTGGAGGGCTAACTCTTTCAAACATTTAACCTGCATTATGCACAATTTCCTATCATTTGAACCCATTGCCACTAAAACTTTCTCCGACTTGCCCGCCGAGATAAAACCCTTACTCAACTCGTTACACCTGCTAACTGTTCTTAATTGAAGTTGCGTCAAAAAGAAGGTCGTGCCCGCAACACCGGCATGATAACCTGTCACATAAAAGGGCTGCTCAACGTGCAGTTTGACAGCTAGGAACGTGCTGGAAACTATGACCACAGTGACGGCAATGATGCAAAAGGACGTTGTTGTGCGGATCTGTTTAGCAATTATTTCCATCAAGATGACCAATCCGTTGTAGATCGCGGCATCTTTTCGACTGAGACCATTATCCACGCGGATGCGCATCGGAGTCGCAATCGCCATAAAGACTTGACTAATGACGAGAATGAAAACCACGCAGAATAAGCAAAGCCTTACTGATTCGTATAGGACAAATATGTTGATAAAGGTACGTGCCGTAAAGAGGGCGATGAATTGGAAGAATTGCCTCTGCCCAAAGATATTGGTTAAGAAGTTGGAAATAGGGCCTATTTTGATAAGGTTTTCAACTATGTAGTAATATGGATCCACGTCGGCGACGATGCCGCATAGAACGGCAACCCATGTAAAGTAGTAGGCAAGCCAGATGCAGGTTTTTAGGTGGTAGTGAAGTAAAGAATCCATTTTTGTAATGTGCCCACGTATTGGCGAAGGTTCTGAAACAGTTTGAAAATAAGCATTCAAAATACATATAGGTCTAAAACGTAACTCTCCGACATTGGCCCATTGGCATGTGCAAGTCGGGTAAAATCATAACGCAAAGTCCCAAACGATAAATCATTACCTTGTCCTTTGATCTTGACTAGTTCATTAAAGAAATAGATGGGATCATCCAGCCCGGCCAGGATCCACATGCAGTACTCGATAAACCCGAACAGTGACATGAGAATCATCAAGAACCAGGTCCATATTCGCGAGTCGAGCGCCATCTCCGTCATACTTCGTCCTTTACGTAGAAGAACGATTCCATAAACGTGAAAAAGTATAGAAACGAGTAAGCAGAGGGCTGGAATAGCGGATTTGACCGTTTTGAATCCTACTTTGCGAACGGAGATGGACCCGTTTTTCTTTGCCGGATGGTGAAAACTTATGGCGAAAGGTGGTCCGTAGAAGAATATGTAGTGATCGTTGTAAAGATTTTGAATCAAGATTAACAATTCAAATTGGTTGGATGGCATTGTCTCTTGAGTAAGATATGGTTTGTGCTAATTTAAAATAATTTAGTAATTAGCGTTACCGCCAGGAATCACTGGACTGGTTTAAAAATTATGAAAGAACGGGTACCACTAATTTCCATAAAGTTCAAATGGCTTCAAACCAGAGAGTATCAAATTTGAATTTGGAACAACTTTTCATGCTTCCTCAATTTTTGTCAGTATAAAGACTCTGAACGAAAACGATCGTTGTTAAATTGTTTTAGGCATTGGTACCTATAGGGTGTCTGTCTGGCTTAAAAAAGTCAGCAAAGAAAATTAGATTTTATATGCTATTTATGCCGGTATATGATTATATACAGATATGTATTTAAGTATATATGTCATAGGGGCATATTTTAATCAAAATAGGTTTAATAAAAAACAAGAAAAGATTTAAGTTAAATTTTTCAATTACTGAAAAAATGAATGACTGAGGAAAGTAAGAATTTTATTCAGTAATATTTGTTGATTAACTTTTAAGAAGACTATGTAAGACCTTTAAAAGTAGATTAATATTCATATTTTATATCTTCTATTGGTAAGGAATTAACCTTGAGATTGAAATAAAAATAAAATTGAATGGATTTAAATTTCGAATTCTTAAATCATTTCCACATCTTGCATCATGTTAGTTACCTGATCTTAATTAATACCTGGCGTCTTAAGCAAACAATAGTTTAATTATCGCGACAACAAATCTCTCCTAGTACGGCATGGAAATAAATAAGTGTTAATATCTACATAGCTTAGCTAATCAAGTACCTATGTAAATGCAGAGGGTGCTTGAAAGATGAATTTTCACCTTAATTTCTAAGACTATGGAAAATTACAAAGTAATATTGTTACAGTCGATGATAAAAGCATCACCAAATCAATTCAAGCGGCTTTTCATACTTTATAAGCATTCCCACGATACTGTGTAGAATAGGGTATAAAATATGCGATGTCTTATACTAGCAATTCAGTAGTTTAATTATTTTGCTAAGCTTACCCAATCAATATCTGATTATCTACAGATTTCGATTTTCATATACTTGTCTTAATTAAGAAGTTTATCCTATGTTGTGTGGAAGAATACAAAATATATTGCGTGGACAATTTCCATTGGCCACTGTCCACAATCCAATTAAACAAAGTAGGATAATCTATACGTACTCGATTACATGTCTTGGCCCTGTCATTTTTCAGATTCGCACCGAACACTGGGAACAATGTATCACACCAAATTTCTTAGAATATTTGCACTTCGTAACAAAATTGCAAACTATTTGAATTGTAGCCCGTTCCAATACGATGATAAATCCGCAAGCGAAGACTAAAAATATACCTGATGGAAACTCTGGCCACGACAATTTATACGATCGCAATGTTTCGAAATCTCTGCTTTAGCGAATCTCCGTTGACAGGTCGGGTTCAAGCGGCCGCGTTCTTTCTAATCTACGTTGGGGCACTTTGGACAGGTTGGAATTTCAAAGTGGATAATTCTTTGGTTCAGATTATCAATACGTTCATCAAGTTCGAGACTGACTTTTTAAAAGGTATGGTGTCACATTCTTAGCTGATTGTCATGAATATGTAATATTACTCCAAGTTTAGACATGCAGTATCGAAATGCTAATATTTTTGGTATTTTTACTTAAGATATACATACATACTTATGTATGTTAAAATATCAAAATATCCGAGTTCGATTTGTTTCGAAATCTCGAAAATTCGTTAACCCCACTTTGAAATATCGACGTAATTTCGATATCACATGTCCCACTCCGAGTGTTGAGAGCACGATGGACCTACTCAGCTCCAAAGCCTCTCGGTTTTATATTTGTGCCGTTGCGAAAATTGGACAAAATTTAGTAGATGAGACAGCAGCAGTAATTTACGTAAACTTGATTTTATTTTAAATGCTCTGCTCAAAAAGAATTTAATAATGTAGGTGGTATCAGAATTATGGACAAAATTGACTACATAAATTTAGAGTGTACCAATTCGAGTCCCGATTGCCTACTGACTTGAACAAGTCCAAAAACTCCCCTTACATACTAAAACTCAATATAATTTAGTAGCTAAAACTAGTACCTTTCTCTTACGTCTAAAGACACAACCCACAATTTTTGGTGGTTGAACTTAACCTTGAGGCTAATTGGATAATTTAATTTAATCTGAATAATTGTACCCAAATATTGATTCTCATACAAAATGCCCAATTTCCACACATTTTAGACCATAATATTTTACACCGAGTACTTATTACAGATTTACCATGTCTTAGATTTCGAGAAGCAACCAGTCTCCCTTGGAACCAAAGCGATCAAATTATTCATATCCTTGGCTGAATTTTCCGTTCCTGGAATTCCATTCTTTATTTTCCTTTTCCTACGATATGTCCCGTGCACTGCGCCATTCACCATGTCAAACTTTACGAATTGTAAAGAAATCGTAACCACGGAATCCCATTTTGGGTATTGGATTAGATTCGGGGTAAATATGTTGGAATGTCGAATTGTCTGTTTTCTCCTGTATTCTGCTTCCCTGGGAATCTTTTACGTCTTCTTTGTCGGAACGGCGGTGATCCTGCAGTACATGCGAATATTGGAGGGGTAAGTAGCATACATTAGAGCGTCTAGTATCTAGTTTTGTATAATTCGAAGATTTTCGCAAGTTAATTTTGCAAGTGAATTTTCAAAGTCAGGTGATGCGATATTCGAAATTACTAATATAGAACCTCTTTTTCTATTTTATCTACCATTTAGACTAATTTCTACAACATCAAAGCAACCTGATACAGCCAGATGTCTCCAATTCTACCGGAACCTTCAAACCCTGGATAAATCGTTCAACGTGGATCTGCAAGATCGCATCGTCCCCGGCGTGCTTGTTAGCGCTCCGGGACTTCAACTGCTGTCACAATTCGTCTGCATAAATCTATACAATGAAATATCGATGCCAGGATTTCTTGTATTTCCGATGATACTCTTTGATGCAGTTATCGTGAACATGCTGACCATAACGTTGGCTTCGAATGTTCACAAGGAATCAGTGAAATTGCTACGGGTGATGGCGAAGAATGCAATTGGTCAAGGACAGTATGCCGTTACGAAGCGTCAACTTCGTGCCTGTACATTGCTCAAGATCAAGTTTGGATCGAATTTTATTGATCGTGGGACACCGTTAGTAATTCAAACTTTCTGTCTTAATCAAACCGTTTCCCTCGGTTTGATCAGATCCAATAAATAATAATTCGGTTTTAAATCGATATAGGTGATGGGAAGTTAAAATGTAGAATATTCTAGGAAAGCGTCATTTACTTATCTACGTGAATATTGGAATATGTGTTTATCATTTGCGAAATCAAAATTGCAAAAGCTAATCTCCGAAAGATGTGCAAAATTTGATTCATTGAAAAAAACGTGTTTGATCCAACACTCACAAATCGCTGCAAAAAGTATAATGCACTAAATTCCCAAGTATAGAGAGAACCAGATCACACAATATTAACGAATCAAGTGCTTATCTCATGATGATAACTAGGTTTTGTCTGACTAACCTTTGCAGTTAAGCACACCTACATAAAAAAGGACATGAACATATGTGACACAAATATACAGCTGTAAAATTGGGCAAAATTTCATCAACCCGACACGAATTCCAGAAATTAGACTTCTTAAACTAAATAAATAAAAATAGTTTTATTTCGAGTTTCGAGCAAAAATCAATACTTAACATTTTTCTCACTATTTCAAGTAAACGTGGCGCATTTGTCCCCAAGTAAGTCATCACTGTTGCAAATTTCTACTTAATTATGCTTTTAGTTGAATCATCTTCATCCTCACTACACTTCCATAATTGCGTCGTCTACGTTTTTTTTAAATAATTGATGCCATTTACATCCCAGACATGTGTATCATTTATTCCACCTGACTCTGAATAGATATCACCCAACAACAATTTAGAACAAGATCACGGTCAATAAAAGAGACAATTACAATTTTTTCTACCGACAAACTTATCAATTAATTTAAATTAATTGAATACATAGATTATGCAACGTATCCATACTGGGACCGAGATTCAGGTACAATTTGCGTCACCGCAAAACTCGTGCAAACAAGTCACACAATTGATCCTGCCATCTCAACTAAGTATGTACTGTTTTCCTGGGAATTAAACATCAATTAATTAATTGTCCCACTGTGTAGCAAGTTTGATGATGACATATCTCGTTAAATTGACCCAGAATCGGTATAAAGTGCCAAGTACGAGGGGTGGAAGAAGCAGTCGTGCTAAAAACGTTGGTGGGTGCACAAGTCAAAATAATTATAGAGTAATAAAAAATAGTTGATAATTGATATCAAAATGGGAAAATTAAAAACTTTCTCTGGAACATTATTGCTAATTTTTGCAATACTTGCGGACATTGCTAATTCTGCACAAATTTCACCTACAAGTTTGATCACGTTCCAAAATCGGGAACAATTAGATAACGAGGGGAAAGTCTGGTTAGGGTGGGAATTTGATAATGAAACGGATTTAATTCTTTTCGAGATGGAGGTGGAAACCACGGGGTATGTTGGGTTAGGGATTAGCCCGTCGTCTAGCATGGCGGGCGCGGATATCTTCATAGCTGGAGTTTTCGATAATGGGACGAGTTACGGGATGGTAAGCTGTAATAAATTGATACGCTATTATATCTTGTAATCGATATCTTTGAAATCACAAATCACATCACACTGCGATTTATTGTGATTTTAATAGTCGCCATCTTGCGATACTATATAATTTACATACGTCGTTAGATGGCGACTTTTAAAATCACATTAAATCACGCTATGCATTAAAATCACAAATTGTGATAATCACAAAAATCACATAAAATCACAAAACTGATATTCAGTGTCTCCGATATCTTGATTAAAAATATGTTTTTTCAGGACTGTATCGGAATTGGTTTTACCAGACCAAAACCAGACTTACATGCCGACTGGGTTTTGGACGGTGCTATTGAAGCCGTGGGGAAAACGTTTCTTAAATTTTCTCGTCTTATCAATACCTGTAACGATGAAGATTATCCGATCGGGGTAAGTTGGGTTTGTCCTTAATTGTAAATTGGTGTTTTAATTAAAAAAATTGATGTCTAGGTTGACACTACCCGACTTATCTGGGCTTATGGGGACACGGACGATATCGCTTATCATACAATGGCACGACGCGGAGCGAAAGCGGTTAATCTTATCGGAACACCGATTCCAGACTTGGATCTGGAAGGGTAAACAAATTTACATGATCAATTAATTAATTAAATTGTAATACAATTTTTAATTTGATTAGCTTATCTAAATGGGAGATGACAGTTGACGTCGAAATGCCGTCGTTGGATACGACGTATTGGTGCAGTTATCATAAAGGGCCGGTTTTAGTGACGAAACACCACGTGGTTGGGGTATAGTGAGACGTGTTAACAGTCGGGGCTATATTTGAATTACTCTTTTGCTATAATTAGTTCGATGCACTTCTTGACAATATCGCCGCGCTTGCGCATACGCATCACTTCATTTTGAAAAATTGTTACCTGCCCCGTAACCATAATGAGACGCTTGACGAAGTCTTTGGACCCTACACCGTCGACGCTGGGTACGATGGAGGTCATTGTTACGATCCAGAATCAACCATCCCGCCTCTAGAGCAATATTGTTCGCAAGATCTTTTCGTATGGGCGAAGGGTGGAAAGGTGGGAAAATTTAAATTTAAAAATAAAAACCAGAAACAGCAGTAGTACATTTGACACTTATCCTTCAGATAATGACCTTCCCTGCCAATGTCGGATATCCCCTCGGTGAAGGTGAAAATGCCGGAAAACAGCTGTACTACATGCTCGAAATCCATTACGATAACCCCGACGAGGTGGCAGGGTTAAAGTTCAAGACGGGAGTGCAATTTTACTACACGGACGAGATAAGGTATACGATGCAATACTTTTGGAGTATTATGATACTTTTGGGGTAATATGATACTATGAGAAGTTTAAACCTCCTTAGACAACAAGACGCCGGTCTTCTAGCGGTCGGACATATGACTAATCCCATCTTAACGATTCCACCAAACGTGGATGATTTCGTACTTATGGGGCAATGTGATCCTTCCTGTACAGAATGGGGTATTAAACCAGAAGAAGGCGTCACAATTTTCAATGCACTCCTCCATGCCCATATTTCAGGTTGGTTTATCTATATACGAAAACATATTTTTAATAGAAACAGCTGATCTATCTATATATTAGGTCGAAAACTGAAATTGCGGCACTTCCGTGGTGCCGTCGAACTTCCTTGGATCGATTACGATGATCACTATGATTTCGACTACCAGCAAAATAAACCGATTCCTGGAACCCAACTCCTTCCAAGAGATCGCCTGATTTATGGTAATATATAATAGAACGATCATACGTATGATTTTTACCGCTAATTTCAAATTACCATCCAGAATGCACGTATTCATCAAAATGGACCGACAACACCGCCGTCGTGGGTGGAATGTCGTCCCGTGAAGAAATGTGCATCACGTTTTTGTGGTACTATCCCAGACAAGATATGACGCAATGCTTCTCACAAACCCCATTTGCCGTCCATACCGCTGATTTCGGAATTACACGAGTTCACGAGTAATTTTTAATTAGTAAATAATTTCTTTGGAATTTTAAATAATTTCCTTATCATTTCTTACCAATAGTGAAGATGCCAAAGGTGGGCCACAAATGTTTATCGATGAACCTGCCTATATGGCTGGACAGTATCGGTATACGATCTCCCTGTTTAACAATTGGACCGAGTCATTTGTCGAGCAGTATCAGTATAATCACAGATACTTACCTCATGAAGGGTCTTGCGTACAAGAGGATGGACAGTATCTTATCGTCGATGAGACATCTTATCCTGAAGGAATGATTAAATATGTTCCGAAGGATGTTTGCGAACCGGGATCAGAACCGACCACGGTTACCCAACCAGAAACTACTCAGTCTCCAACTACTCAGTCTCCAACTACTCAGTCTCCAACCTCTCTAACTCCTCCACAAACCGCACCCACACAACCACAAACAACTATGACTCAGCAACAGACAACCCCCACCCAAGCGTCAACAACTGTAACTTTACCTACATCAACAGAACCGCAAGGTGGGGTTGCAAGTGGTATCGCAACTGCCAAAATAGGAAGTATGGTTGCTATACTTACGTACATTGTTTTGTAACTTTATTGGTATATTATTTAGATTAAAGTAAATAAATGCAGATTTAAATTCTAAAAATCAGATACTTTTATCATCGCCAGGACTTTCGTGGCGTATCCTCGGCATCTGGTGTAATGAAACAACATAATTTTATTCCATTTCTGCCCACGTAAAATGTTTACAGGCCCACTGTACAATTTAGCGATGTGTCATACCCAGTCGTCTCAATTGAACTGGGAGTAAAATAAATAGGTACAGCTCAACGAATTTCAGTAATAACGGGTTACTTTATATTTCATTGGAAAGCTGGTTAAGTTTCAATGAGGATACATATCTTAAACGTTAAAACTACTCCCCCAGCATCGATGCACTGCTGAAAACACGAGCGTAGAATTACGCACTCGATGCTATAAGTTTATGGAAAAATTATTGGAGCAAAACTTTCTTAGCAGATTTTCTTACTTCATCGCTTGATCTTAACCCACTGGACTATGACATACGGACTGGATATGAGGCAAGGGTGTGTCCTAAACCTCATAAAAGTGCAGAGGCCCTAAAAAATTTCCTGTGACAGGAATGTGACGTTTACCTATGGAAAAAGTGCGTAATTCTGTCGTAGCGTGCCGTCCGCATTTATGCAAGTGCAATGCCGCCCGGGCACAAAACTTTTTAAGTTTAAGATATGTATCCTCATTGAAATTTAACCAGCTTTCCAATGAAATAAAAAGTAAACTGTTATTACTGAAATTCATTGAGCTGTACCTATTTATTTTACTCCCAGTTCAATTGAGACGACTAGGTAATAACACAAATTCTTATAAAACTAACAGATTCATTCAACTTTAAAAATATCCTTTAATTAACACATAATAATAATAATCCACAGTATCATGCATTAATTAAACTAAACTACCTAAATACAAATAAAAATTGACAAATATTTTCATGTAGATTCCGCTACCTTAAAAATATTAATCAAACTAATTTTCATTTACCATGGGTAACATTATGAATTTTATATTTGAGCAAAATACAAGCTTTCGGAATATCCTTAAATCTGAATAATTTTCTTAATTAATAATCTTCTTAACAATTATTAACTTGTTCTATGCATTCTGCAAGAATATTTAATTGCAAAATTTCATTAAACTTAATGGCACCTGTTTAAAATATGTAAACTAAGTTTCTTAGTGGTTAATTATTTTCCCATTTTCCACCTCCTCCCCCCTTGTCCCAACTAGTTTGAAGTGCGTCTCATTAATTCGTACCAATCCGGGAGGAGGATTTCCTACGAGGGCCTGATTTCCTAGTAAATTCAAACCTACGACACGAATCGTATTTTGGACGAGGCCCAACGCTTCCCGAATAATTCCTCCCAGCGATCCTGGCGATAATGGCGGAAGTGTGACATAGGTCGGTGGTTTTGACGACGACATTGTACTTGGCGTCGTTTCTGTGGCAGATTCAGTAACTGACGTTGTAATTTCTGTAATATCGGCCAATATCGTGACTGGTGCTGGCGTTGATCCGGTCGGATTATTATTACCGTGATGTGTCGTAGTTTCAATAATTTTTACAATATTTTCCGTCGATATTTCTAACTGTGCTGGTAGTGTCGTGGTAAGTGCGGTCGCCACAAGTTCGTCAATCCGCGGTGGTGCTGTCGTTATTCTCGGGAGGATAAGTGCAGTAAGGATTAAGTTAGCGATGTGGGATCGCTCCACGTCTTCAATGCCATTGGGCTCAATATTGATAAGATCACTTATTGGAGATGGACATGATGAAGACACTGAAATTGTCAATTGAAGGATAAAAATAGAATTTAAAAAAATATTCTATAACTTACCCAGTACAAGTAGAAATGCTCCCAACGAGAAGTACGATGTCATATTGGGAACTCTGAAATCAAATAGTTACTAAGAAACGAGGAATAATGTATTATATTAGAAATTATTTGTCCCATATTGTGTACGATTTATGTAGTTCAAGGGTGAGTATGGTAAGCGAAAATAGTGATATGATAGGAATTAGCATAACAATTGCACAACGAACTTCATTGACACATTTATTTATGTTGGGTACATAATTAGCAAACAAATTCGTTCCCAATCAGGATTCAGTTGCATATGTATTTTTTGTGCAAAAAAAAATTCCTATATTTAGGTTTTCCACCTACTTATAATGCGAAGCCGTGAAGTGTTCACCTTGATCATCTATATAGGACTAATTTTATTTTGTTCACCTCAAAAAATAAGCCGACCCATAATTTTGCGTTTTCGATAATGCTCGAATTTGAGCGCGTGGAGGGAATTTCAAACTTTTTTCAGCAAAAATTCCGGATTTTAAAATCTCCAGAACTTTTCAATTTTGGCCCGAATTAAAGAATCCAAAATATGTGTGTTCAGAATTACTTCCTTAAACTTGAAAAATACTAGTTTTCGAAATTTTGAAAATTTGCAATTTTTCGAAAATCAAATCCTACACGAAAAGACAAATTTTCAAATTTCGAAAACTTATTTTTTTCAACTTTAAGGAAATAATTCTGAACATACATATTTTTGGATTTTTTAATTTGCGCCAAAATTGAAAAGTTCTGCTGATTTTAAAATGTGGAATTTTGGCTGGAAAAAGTTTGAAATCCCGCCACGCGCTCAAATTCGAGCATTATCGAAAACGCAAAATTATGGGTCGGCTTGTTTTTTGTGGTGAACGAATTAAAACTAGTCCCATCAAGATCGGAGGTGAACACGTCACGGCCTCGCATTGTTAGTGTGATACAAAATGCTAATAAACCCGAAATCTTGGCAGAATTTCCAATTGTGCATGGCACCATGGACTTTTTTCAGACCGAATATAACACCCAGATTAAGCGTGATCTCGATTTTAAGCGAAGACCAATCAATTGCGCTATCTTGATACTCATCGAACCGACGATGTTCAACGTATATTCTGAATTGTTAGGATTCGCTCGATTTTACGGTTGGCGTGAGACAACAGTAATAATCGCATTGTTACCGGAGGATGGTGAATCGTTATGGATATTCTCCTTGAAGAATGAATCTACCAGAATTCGGGAAACTAGCGATATGTACAGTGCAATGATCTTTTTCGTTACTTCAGATGATCATTTTAGCCCGAACCAAGGGCTTATGTACTCGTCGTGTCCGTCTGTCTGTCTGTCTGTCTGTCTGTCTGTCTTTCGATAACTTTAGAATGCGTTGACCGATTTGGATGAAATTTGGTAGAAACATGTATCTCAGCAATGCAACAACCGAGTTCGAAGATGGGATTGATCAAAAAAGATTTGGACCGGTGGGGGTCATATTAGTGGTGGGGGAATTTTGCACCAAAATTTCAAACTAGTCGTAGAAAGCTGAAATTTGGCGCAGAAGTCCCTGATGGTTTCAAATGAAATAATATGAAGTGAAATTGTAAAAATTTTCACCCGGAGGTACCCTAAAGGGTGATCCATACCGATTTCCCAAAATGCTTCAATCGAGCTGAAATTTGGATTGAGGGTTGCTAGAGACTTTTAGGCAACTATGGTAAAGTAAAGGTTGTGAAATTTTCATTTTGAGGGACCAGAGGGGGGTGACCACCACCGAATTTTTAAAGTTGTCGTACTTTGCTGAAATTTGGTATAGTGGGCGAAAATAACTATTTGACATAAAATATGAACTTAGATATCATTTTAATACTCTACAAGCCTGACTCGCCCTAAATTAAGTCTGCACTGGAAAAACCGATTATGGAAATGGAGTAGACGTAACTTTCTTTGAATTGCAGAACGTCATCTACGGGGCATTTTACTGTGCCGAAAAAATGATTCTTGAAGACAGTGTGGTCACTTGGAGGAAATGGACGTCGCCTTTCACGTCACCAGTGTGGTTATCGATGTTTGTGATTTGTTCATCTTTCGTAGTTGTGCACGCAGTATCGATTCGTCCAAGGGAGTCGAAAAGATTTAGAGTTCGGATATCTTCGACAGAAGCGATGTTCACGGTATGTACCCTTCTTCTGCGTCAATCACCTTCAAACTCACCGAAGAGTTCACGTTTCTCCGTAATTCTACCATTGCAAGTACTTTTCACATTTTTCGTCATTCTGATAATGAATTTGTACGAAGGCATCATGACGACCAACATTTCGAGCCCGTTACAGCCGAAAACTTTTCAAACTTTGGGCGAACTACTCGACGCAGGATATAAATTCGTATTTCCTAACGACAACATAACGGAGTACTACGTGAAGACAAATTGGTCCGAATTTGTATCAGGGTTTTCAAACGCTGGCCAGTTTTGGCGGTACAACACAAGGTTCATCGCCATAGGACGCACCGGTTCGTACCACAAATTGATCTTGGGGGATACAGAGAACAAGTTAAAACTAGCCACCGACATGCCATACGACCAGGAATGGAAGCAGGCCTTCTTTCTTCGACCAAAATACTGCTCTATGGTTAAGGAACCATATTTCACGCGAATATTCAAATTTCGATTCGCTCGAAGAATGACGGGTTTCTTTGCCAGGGAAATGATAAAACTCTGGCAAGCGGGGCTACTCGAGATTTGGAGGCGGCACTACACATCCGAGAAGTTTCAAGGATGGTTGAAGTATCGGTTGAAGAAAGAGATTGAAGACAAGAGTTATATCAGTATCAAGACCGGAATCGATACGGTTTTTACGATGTGTGGAATTCTATTAAATATCGCATTATTTAGTCTGATTGTTGAAAAACATGTTACTACGAAATTTTGCCAATTAAGGGAAAACTTAGTCCGCAAGCTTAAATTGTAAATAGCAAAAACTATCTTATGAATATGTACTATAAAGTCTAAAATTTTGCAGGTATTGCTAAAGTTTGAATAGTAACGAATACAAATATTTTGCCATAAAAGGTCTTAGGAGGAAAACGTACGATCTTTGCAATGCCCGATTTTGATGCCCTTAGGATATGTTGTTGGAGTGTATGAGTTATGAAAAATTGTAGGAGGGTTTTGGTCCATGGGCCTTGCTACGCCCGCCACACCCCTTTAAAGGGGCGTGCAATGCTAAATTGTACACACTAAAACCTTCACCAAAAATTCAATTTTGCTAGGATTGTCAAGATTTTTACATTTCTGTGATCCCAGATAGCTGCTCTATCATATCCAATAGCAAACTCAACTTTTTCGAAACTTTTAAAATTTTTGAATATTTTCTGACCAGAGGCGTGCATTGAAAAAAATAAAAATTTTGAAAAAGTTAAGTTTGCTATTGGATGTGATAAAGCAACTATCTGGGTTCACAAAGATGTAAAAATTTTGAAAATCCGAGCAAAATTGGATTTTTGGTTACAGTATGAACAAGCAAGAAACGGTGTTTTTCATACCTTTGAGGGGGTGTGGCGGGCGTAATAGGGCCCATGGACCAAAACCCCCCTACGGTTTTTCATAACTCGTATATACCAACAACATATCCAAAGGGCATCAAAATCGGGCATTGCAAAGATCGTACGTATCCCTCCTTAGTCAATCGTATTGATCCACGTATCATCTTTTCACATCATTCTCTATTTAGAATTGAATTATGTATTACGGTTGAACATGGTTGGATTAAAAACCTTTAACCATTTACTATATCTGCTTCGAGCATACCTTGTGGCGCATAAATTTAAGAGTGACTGCTAAAGTTTTAAAAAATTGATGGGAAATGCATATCTAGAACCAATTTATATTCCAGACATTCTCCTTTGTGATGGAAATTTTAAAATATTTAACAAAACTGCAATATCCATACCTAAACTTTGTCCAGTCTACATATTTCTCAGACCCCAGAATTTTTCACAATAGCAGGAAAACAGGTCAACGCAGCCAACACTACAATTATCATGTTGGTTAAGATATTTGGTAAAAAAAATTGGCAGAATTCCCCAAGATGGGATCTATCATATTAGATCTGATAAAATTACCCGCTTCTAATATCCCCCTGGTCCTGGGGATACATAAGATATCCAATTGCACAAAGATAATCTCCATCACTGTCGTCGCCAAGACGTTCCAACTTTCGAAAAACAATTGGCAAACCTTATTTCCCACATTGGTTGCCCTATTTCTTACCACGGTGCACATTGCCGCGTCATTAAATTGGTTTCGAACCAATTTTTTAGTGCCCCTCCCAACATGGAAATTTGTTCTGGTGGCATATACTGGGTTTCTGTATGGGGTCATCACCGTCGGGCTGTTTCATTACGAAAGAGTGAGGAAAGAAGCCGTAATACTGGTGAACTCGTGTATCCATGCAGAATTGAAATTGATGCGGGATGGTAGGCATTATTTTTTTTTGGTTTTTAGTATATATGAACTAAAATATATATAAAATTCTTGGTTAAGTTGTGATTGGCAAGATTTGAGATCTGATCTAATTTTAGGAATTAGCACCTTCACTTATTTTAGGGAAATGAAGGCTTCATTCATGAAGAGGGCATGAGGGCGAATTAGGTTGAATGGAGGAAATGAAATATTAAATCAAATGAGTGAAGGGAATGAAGGAGAAAAGTAATGAATGATAGAAAAAATAAGGAACTAAAAAAGTTAAAGAAGGAATAAGGGCGAATGAGGGACTTTACATATTTACTCAAAAAAGTCGTAATATCCTTCTCTTGTGAAATAATTTTAATTTCGATTTACTTTTATTCATCTGGCATTCATATTCAGTTGATTAAACTGGTTTACAAGCTGTGACACCATACAAATAAATAACCTGATAGAACAGATGGAGAATAGAATAAGCGTCAGGTTAAGGAAATTTGTTTATTTTAAAGTGTTGATGGTGGAAGAGCATGGTGGTTGGACTGTGAACTATTTTTGAGCATCGATCAATCTAGTGGAGAAAAGTAACATATTTATATACATTAT